GCTCGCAGAAACTGTGAGATAATGGGAGTTTCTTGTTTTGGGATAGTTTTGTTTCAGGCTTCTAAGTATTGGAGTGATTTACTCCCCATCAGTAGTTGACTAATGCGTCTTTAAAACTAGACGCAACCCAGATTTGTGATGGTCGCACCAGGGTGATCAGAAGAGCTAAACTACATATGCACACAGCACAAGGTTGAAAGCAAGGATGCTTTTACTTTTAGGTGAGCCTGGCCCAAACCATGGTATTTTCTTTTTCTTTCCTTTTTTCTATATTTAATCATTATATTGGGGGCTCTTAGAGCTCTTATAACAACTCATACATCAATTTTATCAATTACTTATGTGCATATGTGCCGTCATCATTGCTAATAGCCTCATATGCTTGTGAAAGTTGGACACTGATTAAAGAAAAGCAAAGAAGAATGGATACATTTTGAATGATGGTACTGGGGAAGCATCTTGAAAGTACCGTGGCACTGCCAAAAGAACAAACAAATCTCTTTTGGAAGAAGTACAGCCAGAATGCTCCTTAGAAGCAAGGATGGTGAGACTTTGTCTCCCGTGCCTTGGACATGTTGTCGGGAGAGACCAGTCCCTGGAGAAGGACATTATGCTGATAAAGCAGAGGGGCAGCAAAAAACGAGGAAGGCCCTTGACAAGCTGGATTGGCCCAGTGGCTGGACGATGGGCTCAAACATAGTAACTGTGAAGATGGGGCAGGACCAGGCAGTGTTTCACTCTGTTACACGCAGGGTCGCGGTGGGTCCAAGTAGACACGATGGCACTTGGCAACCTAATATTTTCCTAAACAGTGAATATGAAGGAAGCAGAAATAAGACTGAATTAAAAGTAAAAAACACGTACGGACCTGTACAGTATAAAGCCACTAATTCAAAATTTAAAAATAGGGAAAACCGTTGCTTTGAGATGCATACTCGAGTGGTAACCCTGGAAAGAAATGCAAGGACATGATTCGTGCAAAAAGCATTATGGTCCTCACTTCTCAGGGCTCAGGGGCACTGCTGGCCCCTGTCCAACTCAAAGTGACCCTGGGGGGCACGATAGAGCTGCCCTGCAGGGCTTTCCAGATGGCAAGTCTGTGTAAATGCAGAATGTCACACCTTTGCCAGGTGCAGCAATCGGTGGGGTCAGATCACTGACCTGGTTCACTGAGGAGTGGCTTTAACCACGGTGCCCCCAGGACTCCTGCCAGACAGCGACGGTCTTAGAAATGAGCAATACTCACAGGGGGCTGCTAAGGGCCTGTCACGTCCTGTGGATTTATCTGTTACCTCAGCTGTTCCTTCCGTGGTTATGAACCATAATTCATCACATACATATTAAAAAAGCAAAATAATAATAAAATAAAAAACTAGACACATGATACTTTGAAGGTGACCGTGGATGAAAGGATGAATCATCAGCTTTACAGAGACCCTGTCCTCTCTGGCGGCCCCGCCTCCAGATTTATCCAGCAATGAGGTCCCTCTGGCTATGCATGCCGGCCTTGGCCTCCGGTGCAGGGAGAACTGTCTGCTTGCCTAGGTTCTCTGCCAGAGACTCTGGGCCCTCTGCGCTCCCTTTACCCTACTGATGCCGCCCCGGGCCTGTCCTCGGACAACGTCCGCTTTAGGGACACGGAACCCCCCCACCTCCACCCCACCCCACCCCACCCCATGCCAGGTCAAGCCCTACCTAGCTCCGGTCTCAGAGGCTCCAAGCTGAATGCTGGCGGCACGGGAAGGGGCCGTCCTCTCCCGGCAAGGGGAACAACGCGGCTGCACGAGGCCCTGACATCCTGGAGGACCCAGGACCCACGAGAGGCCAGTGCTGGCTAGCTCGCCCGGCGCCGCGAAGAACCCGGTCACCCACCGACAGGTCTGCGCGACCCTCCGGGGTATCTTCCCCTGACACCCTCACCCCACACCTCCCTTTCTGGTGGTCAATGTCACCCCTATTTGCCCCGCGCAGAGCCAGGGAGGCACAGGCCTCAGGAGAGCACCCTGTCCTCCACCCGGGCCCCCTCCCTTGGTGGCCTGCGTCACCATGGACCCCTGCCCTTCCCTGGGCCCAGCCTGAGTCCACTCACCGTCTGCCCGCTGCTCCTGCCGCCCGGCTGTGGCTGCGGAGGGAGGGAATGACCTGCTCACTCTGCAGGGGCGGCCAGGGGAGTCCGGGCGGGAGGGGCTGAGGGCGAGCGGAGGCGGTCCCCGCGGCTGAGTGACAGAGGCAGGGGTGATGCTGGCTCCGCGGTGCCCGCCGGCCATGCAGCCCTGCTCAGTCTCCGCCCCTCCTTGTTTAATGTCTGCCCCTCCTCTCTGAGTCTCCGTGAGCCCTGCTCTGGTCAGTCTCCTCCCTGCCTTGGTTAGTCTCGCCCACTACTTGGTAAGTCCCATCCCCCTTGGTTAGTGTCCGTCCCTCCCCTGGTCAGTGTTCACCTTCCTCTGGTCCATCTCTGCCCCTCCCTTCCCAGACTCCGCCCCTCTCCGGGTGGTCTTTGACCGTTCCCTGCTCAGTTTCCCCTGCCAGGCCAATCAGGCCTAGGATGCTATGAGTCTGACAGTACAGGGACAATTTGCTGGGGGAAAAAAACAACCCTAGAGCTAATTGATGATCAAGGGAGCGAGTGAGTCAGGGTGATACATTTTTATATCTAATAACAGCTACTCCCACTGATGAATTTCACCTGAGTCCTAGAATCAAGAACCGTGCGTTATAAAGGGAGAGCACACAGCGCTGAACATGGTCTGTTGCCCGGGAAACTCACCTGCACCCCCCAAACCCTCAAACAACTCCCTGCCATCGGGTGGATTCAGACCCAGGGCGACCTTCTAGGACAAAGTCGAACTGCCCCGTGGGTTTCCTTTCGGAGTGAGTAGGCTGGGCTGCTAACCACGAGGTCAGCAGTTTGAACCTGTCAACCCAAGTCCCCACGGGTCATTCTGGCAATGCCCCCGCACCCTGTGCAGAGCCTCCAAACTCCAAATCAAACTCAGTGGATTCCAGTTGAGACTATAACTCTTCATGAGAGCAGACAGCTGCATCTTTCTTTCGAAGAGGAGCTGTGGTTTCGAACAGCTGACCTTGCAGTTTGCAGTCCAGGGGTTTACCTGCAGGGTTTTAAAAAGCAGTTCCTCTGGTGTGGGTTGGGGCCATGTGAGGTGGAATCTACTCCATGTTCTCAATAACCCGCTTCCCTTCCATGCAGGTGAGGGGCAGGCCATTGGTCTGGCCAGCTAACGGTGAGTAGATGTGGAAACCTGGGCAGAAGCATGGATTTTCCATAGTCTTGTGCTCAGCCATCAACTGCCCCCCACCCCCCGCCCCCCATGCCCCCCGGCCGAATCAAACCACTTCCATGGACTTGACTCAGACTCACAGCGGTCTGATAGGGCATGCTAGAACTGCTCCACAGGGTTATGGGAGCAGACAGCAACTAAGGAGGTTGAACCACCAACCTTGTGGTTAGCAGCCTAAAGCTTTCCCCACACCGACACCAGCCTTCTCATCCCCTGCCAGCTTACTGTGGTTAGGAGCCATCGAGCAGGTTCAAACTTATAGCCACTCTGACAGCAACAACAGAATGAAGCTTGGCCAGTGCTGCGCCATCCTACAATGCAAGTTAGGTGTGGACCCGTTGTGCCAATATCTCAACCTTAGAGCCTGTAATTCCACAGGCTGAAATAGCAGGAGTCAGAATCCCAGGTGGAAGAAGGCATCCTGGGAGGTGTGATGGAGTGAATTGTGTCCCCCCTCCCTCCCCAGACTACATGTGTTGGAATATTAACCACCTATATCTGTGGATATAGTTCCATTTAAAACTAAAAGTCAAACTCACTACTATCGTTGACTCATGGGATCTCCTAGGCTGTAAAAACCTTTACTGGCACAGGAAGCCTCCTCTTTCTCCTGCAGAGCACCTGGTGGATTTGAACTGCTGACCTTGTGGCTAGCAGTGCCTCGCTTACTGCACAGCTACACCAGAGAGCTCCTCTAGTACAACACTTTTTCATTGTTCCCTGAATGAGGTCATATCAGTGTGGCATGTCACTAGCCGGTCACTCTGTACCATATGGAAGGGCAGGCTAGACAGAGGAGGAAGGCCACATGGGTGAGGAAGATGAAGGTAACTGACAAGCACTTTCCCGCTGAACTGCCAGAGAAATACTGCCCTTGAGCCAGTGCCCTGGGATCAGGCGGACAGCCTCCTGAACAGGGAGAAAAGACATCCCTGCTTATCAGAACCAGCTGCTTGTGGGGTTTCTGCTGTGGTGGCACTTGATGGCGACGATGAAGGAGAAATAGACGTCTGTTGGGTTGGTTATTCTCATGTTATTCTCAGTGTCACCCCGAGTTAATTATCCTGTCCAGGGCACGGGCTAGGTAACGTGGCCTTCTGAAGAAATACTCCTGTTTATCAAACACTGATTGTGATGGACTAACTTCACCCAGCGTAATGGTTTCCAGGTCCCTCCATGTCGTGAGGTGTTCTGGGCAAGCGGGGAGTTAATAATGAGTACAAGAATGAGAAAATGCTCTCAAACGGACTCTGGTGATGATGGTACGACTCTTCTTGATGTGTTTGAACTGTTAAATTGCATGATATGTGACTTTTATGCCAATAAAACTGTTGAAAACTGATTGTGGAGTAGGTATTTTATCAATTTGATACCCTTAGTATCGGTGATTAGAAGTAGAACTGACTATTCAAATAAAACTTCCACATTGTTTTAGAAACAGTTATAGTTGCCTGGGGAAGGGTCAATGAATTGTGCTATTTTTAACTAGAACATGAAACTTTAAATTATCATCAAAATCATACACTCACGCAGGTAACAGATAGCATATAGGCAGCAGCTGCATTGTCACTTTAATTTGGATTTCTTCAATTGATGAAACTGAATTTGTTTTCAAGCATTTATCTTTTTTGTCTGTTTTCTAACAGCATTGTTCAGGTATAACTGGCCTATGCAGTTAATTACTTGTATTTAAATTGTACAATTTGATAGATTTTGACATCTGTAGGCACTAACTTGGAACCTGTATATGGATCATGAAGCGGTCATTCAAAGAGAACAAGGGGAGGTGGGGGCATCAGGCTTTTTAATCATCTCATCATTCCAAGAAGCTGCACTGTATGAAGAAGGATGTGGCACCAGGATTGGGGAAAGACGTATTAACAAGCGTCAGCATGCAGATGACACAACCATGCTTTCGGAAAGTGAGCAGGACTTGAAGCGCTTGCTGATGAAGATCAAGGGTTGCAGCCTTCAGTATGGATGACAGCTCAATGCAAGGAAGACCCAAATCCTCACCACGGGTCTGTTAGGTGACACGAAGACAAATGGAGAAAAGATTGACATTGCCAGGGATTTCATTTTACTTGGCTCTACAATCAATGTTGTGGAAAGAAGCAATCAAATGATGTCTTGCATGGGGTAAGTCTGCTGTACAAGACATCTTGAACATGCTGAAGAGCAAGGAGGTTGCTGTGAAGACTAAGGTGTTGTCAGTCACCTCATCTGCATGTGCAAGTTGGACATTTCATAAGGAAGGCTGAGGACGAATACATGCATTTGAATTATGGGGCTGTTGAAGAATATTGAAAGCACCATGGACTGCCAACAAACAAACAAACAAACCCAAACAGAATCGTTTTGGAAGAAGTACAGCCAGAATGCTTCTTAGAGGCAAGGACAGGGAGGCTCCATCTCTGGTGCTTTGGACATCTTGTCAGGAGAGACCAGTCCCTGGAGAAGGACACCATGCTTGGTGCAGTAGCATGACAGTGATAAAGAGGAAGGTCCACAGCAAGATGGATGGGCACAGTGGCTGTGGCAATGGGCTCCGATATGACAACAGTTGCGCAGATAGCCCGGGACAGGGCGGTGTTGGCTTTTTCCCTGTTGTAAATAGGGTTGCTATGAGTCAAAACTGACTCAAGGCACCTAACAGCCTTTCTCTGCGTTTCTGGAGTTGCAATGAAGAGATCTAGGGGATTGGGAGAACTGATTATTAAGAATTTCCCCAGCAAATAAAGATAGCTAGAAAAGTAAACCAAATGGGAACTGCCAATGAGCTCTGGATGCAAAGCTGCGGTCAGTGACCCCGGCAGGGACAGAAGGTGAACTTGCAGGCAGCCTCAGAGTCCTGGTCCTGATGATCTGTGGTGCGTCACCCTTTGCAAGGAAATGCTACTGCCTGCTGCAAGCCAGGATGCAGCCTGGGAGAGAGCGAGGCAGATGCCTTTAAACTTCAAAGGTTGATCTTCACAACTATTCTTTGAAGGTCTCACTGTCATGACATCCTGGGCCAAGATTTTAATAGAAAAACCAGATGGATGAACTTAAAGGATATCTGATCCCCTCCCCCCGCCCCTGCATCTATGATGATAGCTATGCAGAAACATGGAAAGAAAAGGGAAATCCCTCATTTTCTTGCTCTTGCTACTTACCAAGTTTCCATCTGTTGTCACCCAGTGTTGACACTGAAGCAATGGAAGCATAGGCTGGCTAGTTTAAGCAGAACATGCACTTATGGAGGGTGCCGACTAGTTCAAGGCCATGCTGGTTCAGTGGCAGAAATGTTGCCTTCCACAGGGAAGGCCTGGACTTGTTCTGGGCCAGTGCAGCTCATGCACAACCTCACTCATCGCCAGTGGACTCTGGGGTGTTCTGATGCTGGATGGGTTACAGTGGCATTTCCAGACTAGAAAGAAAGTTCTGGTGATCCATGTACTTCCCCAAACCAGTCCCAGAAAATCCAAGGGAGCTCTTAGTCTGATTCACATGGGTCACAGGTATGGCAGAAGACCATGAATTGGGGTTGATGTAACAACATCTGAATCCAACCCCCCCCCCCCACACTCCCTCACCCCGTCTCCAGCCTACCCTCCAGCCTCTGAGACACAGACATGGCGTTCACAGGGTCATGATAATGTTCAACCCTCACTCTATGGAACTGGTGCCATGAGGGGTTCAGTGCATTTGTTAGGGACTCAGACAGAGCAGTCGGTGCTGCTGACTCACCACAGGGTACCAGAAGCTTCTAGAATGGGTCGCACTCCAGATTCAGGAAACTGGACTCACTACTGCCTCTAGGGCCAGTCTCATCAAATTCAATACTGGGTTGTTTTCTCTATCTTGGTGCCGCTGGTCCTTGCCCTGAGTGGCACAGCCTTGGTCCCGGATGAGTCCAAGGTCTTGTTAGCTTCTCCCTAGGGTGGGGACCTCACTTTGAGAACATTCAGATGCTGGT